CAATGGCATGTTAAAATATTTATTTGTGCAAGTGTATTGTGTATTAACTATAGCTAAAATTTCTCCCAACCTCAGTTTGAAGGTGTAATACACGCATTGCACGTACAATAGAACACTTGATATTGTGTGACACACTTTGTAAATCTTATCAGAACAAAATCATATACATTTTTTATTTTGTTATAGAATGTACAGAAGACCAATTTCAATGCACAAACGGTGTATGTATTGACGAAAGTTACTCAGTGTGTAACCTCTATGATGACTGTGGCGATAACAGCGATGAAGAAAACTGTGGTAAGATTGAATGATGAGTTGTGATTGTGATTTAAGATATAAACGTACATTCGCACGCAAAACCATCACAGGTGGTCATTGACAAGGAGTAAAATAGTTTATCCTTTGGAAAACCGATACTTTGATCGTAACAGATCATTTTAACATTTCAGATATATATATGCACACGAGTTCGAGCTTAGCCATTATGAACTATATAGTTAATTGCATCAACTATTTTGGCAAAAACAATTTGATGTGATAAGTAATTTACTACTAGGTTGAAAATATTTAGCAAACTTTTTCAGGGAGCCACATACTCTGGAGATGGACCAATCATGTTTCCAATTGCACTATTAATTTGTCCGTCATATATTGAACTATTTCTCACCAACATATTGACGAAATGCTAATTAAATTCGACTTCTATTGGAACTGTAGAACGGTATTTCATATCCTTCATCCTGTCTTGTGTGTTAGGTCGTGGTAAATGTTGGTATGGCATAAGCAATGAAAACAAATTATTGGTGGTGTGGTAGTAAATGTACTTTTGTTGAATAATGTTTATTCACAAATTGATAATATGAATTTAGAAAAGTTTGTCTTTACAAATACTGGGATCAACACGGATGTACTGTCATAAATACAATTGAACTATATCGTGTATTAAATAATTTCAGGACATTATAAATGTGCTAATGGTCAATTCGTTAGTAAAGACGCTAAATGTTCTGGGTGGAATGACTGCGATGATGGTAGTGACGAACTTGGCTGTGGTGAGTAATAATTTGTACTCTATAACCGCAGTTATGAACACACTTGTGTTATGTTTATAGCGTATCCATATAAAATGTCATGAATCTATTTAAGGCGCAACTAACATGAATACACTTCGATGAGAACAGATGTTACAAAGTGTTATATCTGCCTTTGAATAGATAAACAATTAACAATTCAAAAAAAAATGGGCGACATCCCATTCCCGCAAAAAATAAACTCGTCAACGTCAAAGTAAAATACATAACGCTTGGTGAGATATGACGATATTTTGTGATACCAACATACATCTTCATTTTTATAGGTATAATATGCAACACATACGAGTTCAAATGTGGAGATGATAGTTGTATCAGCCTTTGGCAGCGATGTAATGGCGCTGATGACTGTGGTGATGGATCTGATGAAAGTAAAGAATTATGTGGTGAGTTTGTTTGATATTAAACTCGCTAAAATCATCTGAATATGCGTCTAAATTTTAATAATTTAGACATATTTGTTTTGCATATTACAAATATTCTACTTTGATGTACGATGTTCATATTTTCCACTGAAACACACGTGACTGCAGCTTGTCAGAATATGACAGTTTTTTTGTTATTTAATAATTATCAACGTATGCCTTGAATCCAAAAAAAACAATGGCATCGTCGATGAAAACGGCCAATCATTAAATACTTTTTGACCTATTCAATGACTGCTTATTAATTATGTTGCAGCTGAATAAATTTCATGACATCTTAATGTCAACAGTACTGTTTTGCAGTTTCTCATCGAAATGTCATTCTTTGGTACTTGCTCGTTGTCATAGAGAATTAATATAGTATTCATTGGGATAATAAAAGTAGTTGCATTATGTAGATCATGACTTATGCTGTTTCTACGAAGCAAGGTCTTTAATTTAAAGGCAATGCCATGCATTATTGGAAACATGTATGTATCGGAAGGTACAAAGTGGTTTCATCTCATGCACTAGGTAAACATGCGGTCTCTTCACATATAACAAGCAACCATGTTTTCCCATCTACAACACAAAGTAACTCAAAATAATCCAAAATATTAATATTGCCATATACATTTGAATTTCATCATACGTACAAGTATTAACTAGTCTCCAAATGTTATTCAGCTGATTTTCAGTGTGACGACGGAAGTTTGGTTGCTTTTGATGCAGAGTGTAATAATTGGTTTAATTGTGAAGACCATTCGGATGAAAAGAATTGTGGTAAGATACTATTTTCACGCAGTATTTGCAGTAAAAAATACTTGGTGTATAGTATTAGTCTGTCCGTCGGTTCGTCGATATTTCTAAGGTACGATTGAGTCACAACATAGTTTGTATTGTGACTTCACAACAAGCATAAAGTCAATAGTCATTTTTCCATACAAAGCATGCACACAGCGATATGCTGATACATAACATTGTGTTGTTTGATTAGTTTTACATTTTGTATTATTGCTGTTGTCTGCGTGTCTCGAACAGGATGTTGTGAATCGTTATTGTTTTTGTTCAATTAACCTGTTTCCTACTGTTTATAGAATGCGATGACGGCGCTTTCAAGTGTGATAATGGTTTATGTAAACCTGAGTATACAATATGTGATAACTACGATGACTGTGGTGACACAGTGATGAGAAAAATTGTGGTGAGTTATACTATCGGATGAAAATATATTTCTTGTTGTCAACTTGTATTTGTGAATTAGCGACACATAGAACACCATATGATTATTGCTATAATTCTGTATTACAAAATACAGCTCGTATACAAGATGTAAATGTAAAGATGAAATATCATTCATCGGAAGATTACCTCAATTTCTGCGCTTTTCAGAGCCCCTAGTCGTTGTTGAATGTGAGAGGTTTCGCATCATGTTATTTTTTTAATTAGAGTTTCTAATCATAAACAACAAGGCAACTTAGTATGACCACGTTATCTTGCTGTCTAACTACACCTAATCGAGCAAAACAAGTTAACGCGTTGCTGAATGT